CGCGGAATGAATTAATCTATTTAAGTGTAATCGGAAAATAATTGTAGTAGTTCTTCATGTACTGTGAACAAAAATTAATAAAAATTAAATCATATTACATAAACTTAATAAAACAAATTGTAGAATCCTCTCCCTATAAATGTTTAATGTTTTTTTTTTAAACTAATGTGTGTAGTGGACGTAGTGATGGACTTTTGTTGTTGTTTTATGAACAAAACTACAACAAAAACCGGACTAAATCGGGAAATAAAACAGCGTGACAGAGGAAACTATGTAATGTGTTTTACTAAATGTATGCTGGCCTGACGCGGTATGCCGGCCTGACGCGGTATGCAGGCCTGACGCGGTATGCCGGCCTTACGCGGTATGCCGGCCTTACGCGGTATGCCGGCCTTACGCGGTATGCCGGCCTTACGCGGTATGCCGGCCTGACGCGGTATGCCGGCCTGACAGAACACCGGCTGTAATTCTACTCTTGTTCCTTTGGTTGCAGTGCAGTTAGAGGAAGTGGATCAGTGTAGAAATCCACCCCAGAGGATATTAGCAACTGTAATGTTTACACATTTCCCTCATCACTCTGCATTGCCCTTTACCTTCTGTCTGCTTTATGTGATGGCAGATACCCGCATGAGCTCCTGTGCGTTATGGAGAGACCCTCCATTGCCATGTTGTGGCTCCGTTACTCTCTGTGGATACCGTTGTACATCCTGTCTGTTGCCAATGAAGGTGAGTCTCTTCAAACCTGGAATACCTGCCGTGCTTTGGAAATGTATCCTCATAGATCCTGCAAAGATGTTCCACATTTTGTCTCTTTACAAACAGAAGTCGCCCTGTATTTCGTTAGGGTTTTATGTGATTGAAGAAAGGAAAAGGGATTCCTGGGTTTCAACTAAATGTATTAAATTGATTTTACATTAATCCCCCTCTGAGTAGTTTCAAGGAGGGAAAACTTTATTCCTGATTTTGAATCTGAATTAAACAGAAAAGGTCCAAAGGAAAGCTATGGGTGAAAAAAAGGCATCAGAAGTCCTACTTTCTATAATCCATGAAGCAAACATGACTTTGTTTTATGACCAGATAAGAACAAAAATGATCAATTAGATCCATATGGCAAAAAAAAAAAAAACTGACATTGCACATCTTCGTTAATATAGTGTCCTCAGTCAAACACGACGGCAGCAGAGTCATGCTGTGGGGATGGTTCTCTTTAGCAGGAACAGCAAAGCTGCTCAGAATTAGATCAAAACAGATCCATGTGAAAAGCTTAGTCAAAAAAAAGCCTTCAAATATTTAAAAACTGATGTTTAGAGAGTGTTTGTGTGGCAGTGGGTACCTGGTCAGTCAGGTGAAGCTGAGCCTGGATCTCTTTCTTCTTCAGGTGTCACCGTTTATCAGGCCATGCCGTACATGGAGCCGTCAGCCTCCAGCTCGGCTTATATTCATCTCCCCTTCCTGCTGATGCTCTACCTGTCGCTTCTCACCGTGGGTAAGAAAGAAACGAAGCAGCTCCATCGAAAACACGAATTATATTGACTTTATCTTCCAAGATCCCGAATAAGTACCACCGAACCTCTCCTGCTCATGTTATAAGTAGGAATGTTGTGATTTACTAAAATTTCCAACGTTTTTCTGGAATTGTGGGAAGTTTAGAGGAGATTTAATCTGCAGGTCCCAAAGATGGCCGCAATCTGCAACAGCACTGCTCACAGATGGCAGGTATCAACACTATGGATCCTCTCCGCTAATGTAAAAAAGAAAAATAATGGGATGACTTCAATGAAAAAACACAGTAGAGAACCTTCTGGAAGGTTCCAGCAGATATCCGTTTGTCTCTGAATGCAATGTCACTCCGAAAACCTTCTTCACATCTTCCGTCCAGAAACTCTGGAGGCACAAAAAAACCCAAAACATTGTTTCTCAATATAAAAGGTAATATTTTGGTGTTTTAGTTCATTAAAAGGGATAAAACAGTTGGGGTCCCAGTAGAAATTCTCCTAAAACATAGAATTCAACACAAGCAGGGTTCCTACAGCATAAGGCAATTTAATTTAAGACTTTTTAAGACTTTTTAAG